TTTTTTTTTTTTTTTTTTTTTTTTTTTTTTTTTTTTTTTTTTTTTTTTTTTTTTTTTTTAGCTCTGCATATGGCATTGGAGTTTCTACCCGTACCTAGCGACTTGGAAGAGATGGCCGAACTGGTACCATCTGGTATTGCACGTCTCCTGTGAATAATATAGATCATACTCTTTCTGTGACATACTTGGTCTTTTTCGAGCTTAGGAAACCAACGATTACTTCGATCAGATGAAAATAAGTTTCGGATTTCCAATTGTCCATCCGTTAGAAGTACTGGTAAGAAGTAACATGATATCAGTACTCAGTCATGGTGGCTCCGTTAAGTATGTAATGAATCGGGCGCTACACTCCCCTCAGTTGAAACTATATACTTATACCAAGTGCAGACTCCCATATGTGTTGTTCGCAGTATTCCTTGATACCCACCAACGAAACACAGTTACAATCGGAGCAACTATGCATCCCAAACAATTATTAGATCTATGCTATGAATTAATTAGAATGTAGTATAAGCTGCCCACTGCACACCCTTCTTAGTCAGCATCCACAGGATTATGTCATGTGCTTTCGCGTCCCGCCCAGTCCCAATCGGGAAATATCACGCGTCTGCCTACTCAGAGTGCATCTTTCTGCCTTGAGCTCGTCCCTTTTTATGTCGAGCCAGCGGCGGCATCGAATGGATCTGATTTCATAGATCTCTTTAGTCTTGCATACTGAAAATGGCCGATAAAGAGGCAACTGTCTATATCGTGGACTGTGGCAAGTCCATGGGAGAGCGCCGTCATGGTCGCGAAGTGACGGATCTCGACTGGGCGATGCAGTATGTTTGGGATCGCATCACAGGGACGGTGAGTTTTTTTTTCTCCCTCTCTATATAGTTATGTCATACTTGTAAGCTTATGTTTGGATAGGTGGCCACCGGACGAAAAATGGCTTTGATCGGTGTTCTTGGGCTGAGGACAGATGGTGAGTGAGCTTCTTCCCGACGGGTAATGTAGTTGATGGGTCGGAGCTAATGCAGGAACGTCTAGATACCGCGAATGAACTGGAGGATGATTCTGATTATTCGCATATTTCTGTCTTATCAGGCATTAAGCAGTATGGTGCATTTTTGTCTGTTGATTTTCTGGTGATTCGCTGACGAAGTATAGGTTCCTTATGCCGGATATCCGGAGTTTGAGCGACCGGATAAAGCCTAGCAAGACTAATAAGGGAGATGGTGAGTTGCAGTTCTTTGAATAGTGATTGGAGTAGTTGGGCTTTAGCTGATTAGTATAGCTATCTCTGCGCTTGTGCTTGCGATTCAGATGATCATCACTCAGTGCAAGAAACTGAAGTATAAGCGCAGGATTGTCCTGGTTACTAATGGGCAGGGCCCGATGAATCCGGATAATCTCAGCGAGATAACGAAGAAGATTAAGGAGGATAATATTGAACTGATTATCTTGTTAGTATCGATTGATACACTTGGGGCATGGGGTTACTAACATGCTGCAGGGGACCTGACTTTGATGACCCTGACTACGGAGTGAAGGAGGAAGATAAAGATCCGCGAAAGGTATTACACACTGTTCCGTCTGCTCTGGACTGCTAATGACAACTACTACAGGCGGAAAACGAAGCACTCCTGCGTAGTCTGGCTGAAGACTGCGATGGAGCTTATGGAACCCTAGAACAAGCTGTTGCGGAGCTAGAAACACCTCGTGTAAAGAGCACAAGGATAACGGCAAGCTTCAAGGGCCATTTACAGCTAGGAAACCCCGCAGAATATGATACTGCAGTTCGAATCCCCGTGGAGCGCTACTACAGGACATACGTTGCGAAGGCGCCGTCGGCTAGTCAGTTCACAGTACGTAACGAAGAGGAGATGGAAGCGGCGGGAGCGGGTTCGCAAGATGGTAGTTCTCTTGTAGGTGTTCGAAACAGCAGATCCTACCAAATTGACGATGGGACTACTGAAGACGGAGTGACAACCGTGGATCGAGACCAACTTGCCAAAGGTTACGAGTACGGGCGGACATTGGTCCCTATCAGCGAGACGGATGAGAATATCACCACCCTGGAGACATTTGCGGCTATCGAACTTCTTGGGTTCATACAGAGCGATCGAGTAAGTTCTACCCTCCATATCTGCTGTGTGCTGCTTAGTTAATCTTGCTATTAGTATGATCGGTACATGCACATGTCGACGACAAACATCATCATTGCGCAGCGCGCCAATGACAAGGCAGCACTCGCTCTTTCCTCCTTCATACATGCACTCTTCGAGCTGGAATCGTATGCTGTTGCCCGTATGGTGCTGAAAGAGAACAAGCCCCCTGTCATAGTTGTGCTTGCACCATCAATCGAACCCGACTACGAGTGTCTCCTCGAGGCGCAATTGCCATTCGCAGAAGACGTACGAACGTACCGCTTCCCTCCACTCGACAGGGTCGTTACAGTGTCTGGTAAAGTGGTGACGCAGCATCGCAACCTACCCAGCGACGATCTGCTGAATGCAATGGACAAATACGTGAAAAGCATGGAGCTCACCGATACGGACGAGAACGGGTGAGATTGACCAAAAGCGATCTCAATTTCCCTGCTGACTTCAAACAAAGTGACCCGACGGAATGTCTCCCAATCGACGACTCCTTCTCACCAGTCCTGCACCGCATCGATTCTGCCGTCCGCCATCGTGCCATCCATCCTAACGACCCTATTCCTCCCCCTGCCCCAGTCCTAACAAAGTTCTCCCACCCTCCGGATGACCTCGTTGAGAAGTCTAAGAAATACCTAGACAAGCTAGTAGCAGTATCAGACGTCAAGAAAGGTCAGTCCCTTCCCCCTCCCCCAAAATTTCTTCATACTCACAGCGATGATTTCAGTCCCACCAAAAACCAAGGGCACCAAACGATCCCGTGAAACGGAGAAGCCACTATCTGGTCTCGACGTGGATGCACTTCTCCACCAAGAGAAGCGCACAAAGATCTCACCCAACAATGCAATCCCCGAATTCAAGCAGACGCTCTCGCAGGCAGAGAACATCGACACAATCAAGGATGCAGTGAAGCAGATGAGCACTATCATCGAAGACCAAATCAGACACAGTCTTGGCGATGTTAATTATCCTCGGGTCGCTGAGGGGCTAGTTGTGATGCGGGAGGAACTGATCGATTATGAGGAACCTGCGCTGTATAATGATTTCTTGAAGCAGCTGAAGGAGAAGTTGTTGAAGGAGGAGCTTGGTGGGGATAGACGGGAGCTGTGGTGGCTGCTCAGGAGGAGCAAGTTGGGGTTGATTGACAAGGGGGAGTCTGATCGGTCCGAGGTGGAGGAAGAGGAGGCGAAGGCGTTTGTGTCTATGGCTGCTAAGTGAAGACTGGGGTATTCTGATATGGCTTAGTCCTCCAGGAAGGGTATAATAGCCAGACCTACAAACCAGACTCCTATTTTTACCTGTCAAATAGTGGATAACGGTTGGATCATGATAAATGAACATGCTTCAATGCTGCATGACTGTGCTCGCTAGAGTACAATATCCACGATAATCCTGTGCGCTAAGTAACAAGGCCTATTCCGTGCCAAAGTAACACACACACACATAACATATAGTACCAATTCGATGAACAATATAGGGGATATCAACCATGACCATGAGTAGAAATAGACATCACAAACAACCATAGCATCCTATCCACATCAAGAAATCCTCCCAATCCTCTTCTTCCCAATATCAATCTTCCCACCCAACCTACAGCCAGATTAGCAAAACCCCCCAAAAGAATGAAATGTAGGAAAACATACCTGGTAGCATCCTCATCCGCCAAATTCAACAACTCATTCTGCACCTGCAACTCATTATTAATGGCAATCCCCAACTCCTTCTGCCGATTAACAATCCTCATCAACTCATCGACCGCAACATCCTGATCCTGCATCATCTGCTTCTGCAACTGCACCACCCCAGTATTATCCAATTCACGCGTCCTCTCCGTCTCCCTCCCCAACACCCTCCCAGACGACCTAATCGCCTTCTTGCCTCCCTGCGTCCCCATCAACGCCTCCTTATCCTGAATCGACGCTACCGCACTATCAATCCGACTCTTCGCCGCCATAGCATTCAACAGATCCTCCAGCCCATCTTTCTCTTTCCTCGCGTTAATCAGTAGATCCTTCCGTCGTCGCATCTCCCCTTCCCCGAGGGTATTGTTCCCACTAACGCTCCACGCCGAGGCAGTCGTAGCGGTATTCCTGCGCCCGAGTTTACTACCCGGTCTTGACCCTACATTATTATTATTCTCCTCCCCACCAGAAGTAGATGTGTTACTCAAATTCCTCAACCCACTCTCCAAACTCCCAATCAACCCCCCCGCCCTAACAAGCTCACTCTTCGCCCTCGCCGAACTCTCATGCTGTCGTTGCGGCGTGGTCTCCTGATCCCGTCTCGTCAAATACAATCTCGCATCGTGTAAATGTCCCTTCATATCCCTGAAACAATCCAGCCAGAGAATCGGGTCCGTGATCCCTCCGCCTTCGGAGTCGCCGGGGTCGGTGATTGCTGCGTGGAGACGGGTACTTGCGCCCCCATTACCACCACCAGTGCTATTGTTGTTGGATGGTAGGCTAGGAAGATTCAAAAACGCCCGCCATGCGGGACTGTTTCGCCATCGGGGATCGTCACTTTCGTTGATCGCGCGCAGGTAGGCTTCTAGTGCTTCGCGGCGGGATTCGCGCAGGGTGGCGTTGTTGATGGTGTTCTGGAACCAGGATTTCGGGGGGAGGGGGGCTGGTGGGGCGGCATTTGTTTGGGAGGTTAGGGTGTTGTGGAAGGTGGTGAAGTCGGAGTAGCGCTTTGAGATGGTGAATGAGCGGAGGGGCAGGCGGAG